AGGCAGCCTGATGGTGTGTGTGAGCTGTCGTGCCCCCCGCCGTGGAGAGTCACCCATACTCTCAACCTTCTCACTTCCGTGGGCGGTGGGGACTGGCCTTGCTCCCTGGGCCTTCCTGGGGCCCCTCCCTAGGCGGCCACCCCCAAGGTCTGGCCCAGGTGCACATGGGGAGGCAGCTCTGGTGAGCATGGAGCCTCGCATCTGAGAAGGGGTAGGGTGCCTTGCTATGTTGGGGAGCTGGGGAGAGCAGGCAGCCCAGGAGCTGGACTGGAGGCCTCCAGGGCAGCCACTGAGGTCAGGGCCCTCTGTGACTGCACCCCTTGTCCCTGCCACTAATGCTGGGGGCTGGGCCTCTGGCTCTGGATTCAGGAGCCCCAGCTAGAGGGGCCCAGTGCCCCTTGAAGGACCTTGAGGAGGCCGTCCTCAAGCTGGTGTCGGGTGGTTCATGTGCCACGTCTTCCCAGGTGCCTTCTGGTAAGGGGTCACCTCTTCTAGCCTCTTGAAAGATGCTCTCTCGACAGGATCCCCCAACCCTGGGGGCGTGGCCCCAGGCACCCAAAACTAAGGCTGAGGAGTAGGAGGTGTAGGACTGCCCTAGAGGGGCCCTGCCACCAGGGACAGCCCAGCTCTGGGTAAAGTCCAATTCCAGGGGCTCTGTGTATGGTGGTGAGGTGTGGCTCATCCTCTGCTGGCCTCCTGGTGGTTGGCTGGTGGTGTCCAGCAGAGGTGGACGGGGGGAGTGGAGGGAGGCTTGGTGGGAGGTTAATGGGCTGGGCTCAGCAGGCCCTTGAAGGAGCCCATCCTCTGACCTCCCCATCTGCACTCTGCCTCATTCGCACAGGTCCATTCCAAGGCACTTGGATGGCTAGTGGCCTCCAAAGGCTGCACCCTCTGTCCTGCCTGCCCTCGGTGTGTCCAGACAGACTGCAGGGTTGGGGGGTGAGCTCCCCTGTGGTCCAAAGGCTGGTAGACAGTGATGAGCCAGGGGGAGGGGGCATACCTCCAAGGCTGGCCTGAGACCCACCCAGTCTTTTTGGCCACAGTGTCCAGATGAAGCCCCCACATCCCCTGGTGGCAGCTGCTGATTGCTGAGGCAGGTGGCCAGGGACAGCCGCCTCGCACCAGGTAGCAGGCATCAGGGCCCCTGTCAATGCAGAGTGCTGGAAAGTCCATGCCCCCTCAAGTTCAGGGGTCAGGCAGGGCCAGGTGGCAGAGGGAGTGCAGCCGAAGCCTAAATCCCCACCGTGCACAGCCAGGGAGGCTCAGTCCTGTCCTGACAGCCAGTGGGCTTCGGGTCAGGACCAGGGACAGGTCCCCTCCCTTAGTTCCAGAGCAGGCGTGGGCTCCAGAGGGCCTGGCACTTTCCAGAGCTGGTGTCTTGAGGAGTAGGTGGGAGGAAGGGGTAGTCTGAGCCCCAGACTGCACTGGGTGAGCTCTCCTGCCCCGGGACAGGGCGGGCCCAGTGCTGCCGGGGCCCCTACCTGGGAGTGTCCAGTTGGTTCAGGAGCTGCAGCCTTAGCACAAATCCTCAGTAACTCAAGGTCAGCCCACATCCTTGATCCGCGGTTGCTCAGGCCCTTCCTCATGGGTTGTCATACCTGGTGCAGCTGGAGAGCTGCTCCCGCAGTGCTTTGAAGCCAGGCCTCTGCGTGGGGTCCCTGTGCCAGCAGCAGAGCATCAGTTTGTATGTGGTGGGTGGGCACTCGGAGGGGCAGGGCATGCGGTAGCCTGCTTCCACCTTCAGGAAGGCCTCGTGGTTGGACATGCCTGCAGGGGGCAGAACAAGAGGGGCTGTGGAGGCAGAGAAGCAAGTATCCTGGGGCCCTGCCCTCACCCTCTGCATCCCTGGCACCTCCAGGGCCCTCCCTCAGGACAGCGAACCCTGGGAGGCATCCGGGTGCTCAGTGAATGGTGCAGGGGCCGTGTCCGGGTGACGGCCGCCTCCCCCCTGCCCACAGTTGGCAGCACTGGGTACCCAGTACCTGGGTAGGGCGTCTGACCCCTGCTGAATATCTCATGGAGGAGAACCCCGAAGGACCAGACGTCAGACTTGATAGAGTAATGCCCTCGGGAGAGCGCCTCAGGGGCAGTCCACTTGTAGGGGATGCTGTGGTCGTGGGAGAGGTAGATGTCCTCCTGCAATCAGATGTGTGCTGGGCGCAGGTCTCGGAGGCCACCGGTGCCCTCCCCCTGCCACGTGGACAGGCTTGGGGAGCCCAGTGCATGGCGGGCAAGTGTACAGTCGTGACCCACACTGTGTCATGGCCTCCTGGGACGCATGCCTGCTGAGCAGGAAGTCCCCACCCATCCATGCCAACAGGCCCCGCCCCAGAGGACCCTTTTGCAAAACCCGGGACAAGGGGCAGAGTTTCTCCCAAAGTGAGCTGCTAGGAGACCCTGGGAGGAGTCATAGGTTAGCAGCCAAGCAGGCACGGCGGGGTTGAGGGGCCGCTCAAGGAGCAAACTGCAGTGGCTGGGTGTGGTTTGCGAGAAGCTGGAGCTGCGCTCTGGGGCATCACGACTTGAAGGAATCCCTTCAGTTTCTGTGTTGCTGGGGTTCCTGAGAGGCTGACGTGCGCAGAGCTGGACAGTGGCCGGCGGCGAGTGAGTGGTGGTCCACTCCTCCCCGCCGCGCCCCACCCTGCACAGCTGTCCTCTCCTCCTGCAGCTCCCAGGCTCATGCCTCCACTGCCCTCCCGGAGCCCCGTGGCCCCCGTCATCTCACCCATCAGAGTTGCAGCTGCCTCAGCTTCCTGTTGCCCCCGACCCGGGCTCCTTGAGGGCAGGAAGCCCATGGGAGTCTCCAGCCCCCTGCCCAGAGGCGGCCCTGCGCCCCACACCCCCGTTCTCCACCCTCCCGCAGCCCTACCTTGATGAGCCTGGCCAGCCCAAAGTCCCCAACTTTGCAGGTGTTGTTTTCCCCCACGAGGATGTTCCTGGCCGCCAGGTCCCGGTGGATGTAATTCTGCGATTCCAGGTAACACATGCCCTCGGCCACCTGCGCTGTGATGCCCACCAGCTCCGAGGCCGGCAGGGCCTTCTCGTCAGAGTCTGCAGAGGCAGCGAGAGGCCAGGGTGAGCGGTGCGGCCAGGCCGAGTCCACTCTGCAAGTTCCTGCCCTCAGTGAGGGGCTGGGGCACAGGGCAGCTGGCCTGATTCAAAATTGGAACTGTGGGCCCCCTGCCACCTTTCTGGAAGGCACTTCTGTGTCAGAGCCAAACACAGTCCAACATGCCTTCTGGGATTTCCTTCTGGGAATCCACATTAAAACAATAGGAACTCAAAGGCATTTTTAAGGACGAGGGTGTTCATCACAGCATTATTTACATGACTGAAAACCTCAAAACTGTCAACAGGCGCCTGGCTAAGCGGACGCAGCACATCACGTGGTGGCGGGCAGACTGTCAGTTTCACATCTGAAGAGCATTTAAAATGGGGGCCGTTTGCGATGATCAAGCTGATGTGACAGCCTTCCCCGTGCCGGGGCGTGACGACGTCTGTGGACATGCACCTGTGCACACTGGCTGTCACCCTACAGTGCCCGTTTCCTCCCATTTAACGTCTCTGGGAACTGGGCCGCATCTGCACCCAGCGCACCTCAGCGGATTGGCTGCGATTGTCTGGTTTTGGTGTTCAGTGAAGTAATGGGACTTATGCAGGTGATGAGATACGTGTGTGGGTGTGTACACAGCGCAAGGAGGCACAGTGCCTTCCAGGAAGAGAAGTGCGGTGAGAACCGGGCCCGGGTGCTCTGGCAGCGGGAGGGGTGGGCAGGCCACGCCAGGCTCTGACCAAGGTGGCCTCAGTCCGCTGTGGGTGTAGGAATTCTGAGGGACTTCTCTTGTCTTTGTTCTCAACTGTGTTTTCTCCAGCTCCTCCAAGGACAGATGGTACATTTATCACAAGCTATTTTCAGTCCTTTCTCAGACAGGAAAGGCGGACGAAGCACCAAGGTTCCCAGGCAGCCCTGTGTGTGGGTGGGGGTCGGGGGTTCTCTCTCTTCCTGCTCACGTTTCCTGTTCCCTCCCACGAGCATGTGTCATTCTGGTCCCAGGAAAGGGGCCCAGGCGCCCACCCGCTCACCCCGCAGCAGCCCCAGCAGGCTCCCCTTGGGCATGAGCTCAGTGATGATGTACACGGGGTCCCCCACGGAGGCCACCGCGTACAGCGCCAGGATGTGCTTGTGCCGGAGCTTCTTCATGGCCTGGATCTCTGCCCGGAACGTGCGCTGGTGCAGGAGGTCGTCTGTGAGGACGAGTGGCCTCGCTGGGTATGGCCCTCGGAGAAGGTGGGTCCCCATCCCTGCTCCCTCCACCCACCTGCACGCCACAGCCACTCAGGAAACGTGGGCGCCTTCCCCCAGACGCCCTGGCTCCCAAGCCCGGTCCCCCCCATTCACACGAGGGTCTGCCGTGCCCGCCGTCTGCTCACCCCACACCCCGGGCACTGCCTGCACCCCGACTTGGTTTACGCCTGCGCAAGCCAGGGGTGGATCCAGGACGCTCCCCAAGTGTGTTCCCGGGCACCTGGCCCCTGGTCCTGAAGCAGAGAATCTAAGCCTCTGGGGGGGTCCCAGGACACTTTGGAAGAACCCATCCAGGCTTCCAGTGATCTGCTTATTTTAGTGGCTTTCCTTCCATTTACATGGAGAATTTTAAATTCCCTTCAAAGATAAACGCACTTAGGTCAAAGCACGAAAGGAGGAAGCCGCCCAGACGCAGCGGTAGGTGCCACACGTGGTACGAGGCAGGGCAGCGTGCAGTCTGCGGCGCCTGGACCCAGGGCTGGACAGGCCGCCCCAGCCCTGGTGAGCAGGGCAGGGGCGCCCGGCCTGGAGCCCACTCACCTCGGGCAATCACCTTGATGGCCACTCGGACCTTGTCCTTCCAGAGCCCCTCAAAGACCTCCCCGAAGTAGCCGGCCCCAAGCTTCCGGCAGAGCGTGAACTCCTCTCGTGGCCTCTCCCAGTCGTCGCAGGGGGGCAGGGGCTCAGGCACGTGCTGCAGGGATACGGCAGGGATGCCGGCGGGTCAGGAGTCCCCACTCTGACCCCAGCAGGGGGAGCCCCTGGTCTGCCCTCAGATGTAGGGCCACGTTCTGCTTGGGAGCGTCCCAGTGTCCAGTGTGTGTGCCAGGGGCTGCCCCCAGCCTGGTGGACCCCTACTGTGTCCTGTAGACAAACACCACCCCCACCACCTGCTCCGGGCCGGTGGCATTGGCCTGAGTCCCACTCACACAAAACTCCTGTCCAGCTGCTGGCTGGGGCACGTGGCCCCTGTCGCCTGTCCCCAGGCTCCCACCCCCCAGAGAGACTCAGGACGTGGCAGAAGCACAGCTGACCTCTCACCTGCCTAGGGGTGAGAGTGACCAGGCAAAGGAGAGCGTGTCCCCTGCCCACCCTCCTGCTGCCACGCACAGCGGTGTCCAAGCACAGCTCCCTAGGCTGAGTCTCCCTGAGTGGGCCCCGCTGATCAGGGTGTCAGGACCCACCCCTGCCCGAGGGCTGTGCGCCTGAGGAGGGAAGAGCTGTAGGTGGGCAGGGGCTGCGGCAGGGCCTGGCGGGGGTGGGGCGGCCCTACCTTACTGCAGGGCGAGGTCAGCCGCAGGCCATGGGACAGGCTTTGGGCCTTGTGGTGGTCCAGGAGCTCCGGCAAGCTGCAGAAGGACACGGCCTCGTTGAGGTGCAGCCGGCCGGCCCGCCGCCAGATCCTGTAGTGCCGCACGGCCTGTGCGTCCCGCACTGGATGGAGGGGGGCGCTCATGAACAGGCGCAGGGAGGGGCCTGCAGGCGGAAGCTCTCCCAACCAGGGAGGGAGAAACCTGCCAGGACCTCTGGACAAGCGCCCACCCGGGGGTCGGAGCTCCCGGAGCAGCGCGGGGGCAGGGCAGGCCAGAGTGGCTGGGCTCTCTGCATGCAAGAAGGGTTTAGGGACAAAGAGCCCCAAAATCAGGCACGGGGGCGCTACAGTGTGGACGAGGTGGGAAGGGGGTACCCGAGAGGACGTAGTCGGCGCCTGGCTTCTCGCTGACCCTGATCAGGAAGGCCCCCCGCTCATTGCCCTTGGCCTGCAGTCGGTGCGAGGCTTCCGAGCGAGAGATTCGGCCGAAGAACCACCTGCAGGGCGAGGATCCTGAGCAGTGAGGACCCCCACCCATGCCCCAACCCTGCCCACCTGGAGTCCCAGCCCCCAACTGACCCTCTGCCTCCTCACGCCCCCAACCCTGGCCCACAGCTGCCCCCTGACACTCACTGACCTCGAGTCCCCTTCTTTGCCGGACACCAACCCCAAATGTCCCACGTGGCTGGTTCTGGACACAGGGAAAGGCCCTCGCGACTCAGCAGTGGAGAAGGCCCCTCCCACCACCCTGCACAGTGTCCCATCTATGGGGACAGAGCCGCCCCACCCTGTGGGTACAGCACCCCCCACAACCTCGGATGTGGCTTTTTAGCCACACTTAGGTCATGTCACTCTGTGACTCTGTGGCCACCTTCTGCACCCAGGCCACAGTCATGTTGTGCTCTAGTGCTGTGGGACTGGGACCGAGTGTCTGAGACACATACGTGCACCCACACGCTCACACATGCGCACATGCGCACACGTGCAATCACACGCATTCTCAGACACCAGCTCCCAGTGCGGGGCGGGGGACAAGCCCTGGACTCTGGAGGGCAAGGTGGGGCCTGTGGAGTTCCCCAGGTGGCCTCTGCTGCCAGCTCCATTGCCCTCTGCACCCCCAACTCCCTCAGGCCCCGCTGGAATGCCAGCCCCTGCAGGGAAGATCACGGCCTGGCACAGAGCCCTGTGGGGTCCACATCCCACCCCCAGCTGACCCAGCACCTCTGGAATCTCCCCTATTTGCTCTTCCCAATTGTCCTGCCACCTTCCCACTTCTCAAATGTGCTGAGTTCCCAGGGCCTCGGGCCTTTGCACCAGCCACGCCAGCCCCTGCACTGCTGCTGTGGAGGCCCCAGTCTGCAGCTGGCTCCTTCCAGGAGGAGGTGCCCTGCGTGTGGCCACTGTCTGCCCTGCACACAGCAGGCAGGCAATCAGTGGTGCATGGGGAGAGGAGCTGGGTCATGGGGGCGTGCAGCAGGTCTTGGGGATCCCTCCTCTGGACCCTCCCTGCCCAGAGCTCAGAGAAGCACCTCAGGTCGTTGTGCACATACCCATGCCAGGCTGCACCCCTCAGGCCCGCAGCTGCCTGTGGGAGCCACCTTGCCGGTGCTGGGGCAGCCATGCTGGGACAGGGAGTGTCTGCAGCCCACACCCCATGCAAGTGTGTCGCAATGGCCCTCCCACTCCCTCTGACGAGGCCACCCATCTGGTTTCGTGTGTTTGGAAGGTGAGTCAAACTCCTCTCCCCAAAAGGCCCAGTCTCTGCCTCCGACCCCTGTGCGGGTCCCGTCACTGTCAGCTGGCCGCCCTCTCTGGCGCCTGGCACTGTGAAGTGGTCCCGAGGGAGCCCAAGGAGGGGCCGCAGCCTCAGCAGCCCCCGTCCCCAGGTGTCAGGCAGCAGAGCCCAGTCAGGTATCCCAAGACCAGGATGGTGGGTCCAGCCACATGGGGGCACGGGGGACAGAGCCACGGGCCCCTCACCCCGGTCAGCCCCATGCCCCTGTCCACCCCGAAGCCCGGCCACCGTGGCACAGAGCTCTGTCCTGACAGCTGCCCTACCCTGAGCTCATGAGAGGCAGCGGGGCCCAGGGAGTAGAGGCACCCTGGAATGACCAGCTGGGGCGGCAAGGACACTCACGGCTCAGACTCCACTGTTTCCTCTTCAGCCAGATAGTTGAAGGGCACGTAGCCCTCGGCCAGGGCGCTGCCCGCCGCGTCCAGCAGCACGGCCCACCACCACTCCTCCTCCTTCCTGGCCACGCGGAAGAGGTTCCCTGCCCGGAAGCTCAGCTCCTCGGCTGTCCGGGCCTCGAAGTCCCAGAGGCCCACGTACCTGGGCCCCCCGGGAGCCTGGCCTTGGGACCCCATGGCCGGTACAGCAGCAGAACTGGGCCTCCTGGCCTCGCCGCCTTCACTGGCCCAGCTCAGACACCGCTGGCTAGGAGCAGCGTGTGGGCAGGGCTGACGCTGACAGGCCAGCCCGCCCCACTGGGCCACTGCCCACTTCCCTGACAAGGTGGCGGGGCTGGCCACACCTGTGCCACCAGGACGGCCTCCCCCAGGCCTCCCCAAGCACCCTGGACTCCTCCCTGAGGGCCCCAGCAGCTGCCCCCCATTCTCCTACCCCTGGGCCAGATCAGTCTGGGCACTCATCTTGCCTCCCTGCTGTGGGGAACCTGCCCACCAAGCAGCCACTCAGGTGTCCCGGACCTGAGCACCAGGGGAGGGAGGGTGGGGTAGCTGATCGAGCCAGGGCGCTCCCTTCCCAAACCTCCCAGGGCTGCTGGGACTGAGCCAGGACACAGCATCAGGCAACTCTCAGCAGAGTGGCTGCTGGAAGCCCCGGTGGGCACTGCGTCTCTCCCCACGACCGAAGGGTCTTCAAGTGCCAGGTGCCTCCTCCTCACCACGGAGCCCGCGCAGTCCCTGAGCCCAGCAGGGAAACCCTGCCATGACAGGATGGCGGTGAGGACGAGGACCAGGAGAAATCACACTCTAACCCTACTTCCTGGCACTTTTCCTTTTATTGAGACGAGACTGGGACCACTCGCTTCACTGAAACCAAGTCCAAGTGTCATTTCCCAAGTTCGTGAGCACACAGAGCAGCCCGCTCAGTTCTGAGCAAGGAGGGGCCAGTCCCGGGGGCAGGGACCCAGGGCTGGGCGGTGAGCTGCTCGGCCCCCCTGGGCTCCAAGGCCCCACCCCGCACGCCCACCCCTCACCGCTGCCGGGACA